TAAATTATAATATTATATTTAAAAAAGCATTTAAGATTAATAATATAAACAAATAATTTTTTTCTTTTATTTTCGTGCTTTGTACTATCTTTGTTTTTCTCCTAAAGAGTCTAATATTAGTTGTTCCATTTGAATCGATACATTAATCACTGCATCGATTCAAAGCTGTCAATGTGATTTGACCAAATTCTAATTAACTTCGGTCCGAATTCACCAATATAAGATGCCAATGGATGCTATTTCAATAGTAAATAAAATTGAAATTAAAGTTAATTTACATTGATAGAAATGGACATTCATCAAATAGGAAATAGGAATCTTGGCCATAACGGTCTAAACTGATGAACATCAATTGTTTTATACCTGTTCCACTAAGATTGACTACATTTACACCTTGCGCTTAGTCCGCTATCTATACGATAGGTGTCTTTGTTTAACCTACAGGATAAATAAAGACATCTATAGGCCGTGGCCTAAATGCACGGTGTAAACATAGCCATTAATTAATCTTCAACTTGCTCTTCATCTTTTTCTGGTTTTCTAATCGTAAAAATTAGAAAAAGATGAAGAGTAAGTTGAACTGAGATCAAAATTAATAGGCCCATTTTTTTAGCTAAATTTCTTGCTTGGTTCATCTTTTCTCCTTTTTTTCTTCAACATGAAGAAAAATGGAAGGAAAAGCAAGAAGTTCAGTATTCCTATTTGTACCAATATAGATTAATTTAAATCTCTGTTTAATTTACTTTTCATCTTTTTCTAATTCTCAGAACTAGAAAAAGAATTGAAGAGTTGGTTGAAGCAAGATTAAAATTAAATTACAGATAGAAACTGGCATAAAAGGACCATCGTTCATCGGTCGTCTTAACATTGTTCGATTGATATAATAGACCTTGTATTTTAATTTATTATTGCTTAGCAGTTTATACGAGCGTGTAATAAAAATTTTAATTATAAAAGGACCAATCTACATTGAAGGAAATAGACATTAATTTATTAAGTAATATCTGCAGTGTTTAGTCGTTAACACAAATAGAATTAAACAATATTGAAATATCATATTAAACTGTGATGTGAATATACAACACTTAACAAATAAATAAATTACATTAGTCTCTCTC